CCCCAAAACCCCAAAACCCCAAAACCCCAAAACCCCAACATTTCAATACATATTGACGTTATAATATAAAAACTAACTGACTTTTTGTTAAAGATGCTCAACTTCACCAAACATGTAGAAGCCATTAGGCAGAACATTACATTGTAAGTCCTTCTAAACCTTCAAACTCAAAGTCTCATTGTCCATAGAGCATTTGATGAGCTAAAACTAGCTGATGAGAGGTCTCCTGAAATTTGCTCCAATTTCTCCACTCAAAGAAATAACATAAAGAGCACTATTATGGAGAATTTGCTAAAATTCCAGAAAATAGCTTTGCAGTTTGAGAACCAAGCTAGGCTGCAAGATGTTGATCAAGAAATCCTTTCAATAATGGAGTCCAAATAATGAGCTTAATGCTAGAACCTTTCAGAATAAAATTGAAGAACTCACACAGAAGCATGAAGACTCTCAGAGTGAAGCCCTCCGACTTAAGTCTGAGAACTATAAGCTCAAGAATGAAATTGAGAGGCTGAAATAAGCAGATCAGCAGCTTTAGTTCATCTGTTTACAAGAGTAGCATAGACAGCACACAACAGAGGACATTAATTTCAACTGCTAATGAAAGCTTCTCAAGTAACAGCTTTCTCTCCTCCAGAGCTGACTCGAAGTTGTTCAAGAATCTACCCCAAGAGAAGAGAAAATTAGCTAATAAGTCTGAAGTGAGATATACTCATACCAAAGCAGAGTCAATGGACTCTCCACAGAAAATGTAAGATTTTTCATATAATTCCAGCCAAAAGAAACATAATTTCTTAAGAAATCATAAGAGTCAGGAAGAGATTTTACCAAATAGAATGAAAAATGACTGTTATAGTCAAGCTAAGGATAGTTCCCTTAACCTTAATTCCTCTGAATTCTCAGAGGCACTTTATAAGAAGAGGAGGAGCAGAGATGAGCGGAAGAAGCCTGAAGTACTTCAGAACCCAACCTCAGAGAGTTTAGCAAAGTATTTTGCTTCATTCATTTTTAGGTATTTCAACATTAAGAAAGAATCAAAAGGAAGAAATATCCTTATCCAACCCCGTGTCAAACATCAGAAGGGTACTGCTGATGTATTGGCAGAAAGGATTAGAACTAAAAGTGGAAATGGAATTCTGAATTCTACTTATTCCCCTTCAAAGGCTGTTAAAAGTATGTTAATCAGCTAAAACTTAGGTACAAAAATTCTTAAGGTGACTAAAACTAAATCTCCTTTGCACTGAGCAAAAGATCAACATAAATTTTATAAGAGGAAGACATCCTTTCAGACACTCAAAAAGAAGCCAATTAAGCCATCCGGGAGGTAAGGGTCTCCTTTTAATTTTATAGAAATACTTATGGCTGATTGGCTTCCAAGCAAAAATTTGTTCCAGCTCAGGCTCAAAGCTCTTCTACGTCGATCTCTCTTCTTTCTAAGCCAAAGAAAGTACTCTGATCTGATATTGACACTAGCCATCCTTCCTTGTGCTTTCCCACAGAAGGACCCCTGACTAGCAGGCAGTCGAAGACTCCAGCTACAACTGGAGTCTCTCCAGTTGGGCTTAGTCTTGGTGGCTTCCAGAGCGGGCTATTGGGGCTTCAAGAGAGAAGGAATCAGAGGAAGATTAAGAAGCAGCAGATGAGCGAGGAAAGGTGATAAGTGATAAGCTTAAGAATTTTTTCAGTGAAGAAGTAGCAAGAGGGGTTTTGGGGTTTTGGGGTTTTGGGGTTTTGGGG